ATAGTGCGTCTGTTCCTACTGTTAATGACCATACATGAAGGTCGTGTACAGCTTCTACTTACCTACTACTAGATGTACTGATAGTGCGTCTGTTCCTACTGTTAGTGACCATACATGAAGGTCGTGCACAGCTTCTACTCCTGGTATCGATGCTAGTCGTGTTTTTAAGTCATTAAAGCTCAGTCCTTTTGGCATACCTGGAAACAAAATTTACTGTTAATAATACTTTTCTCCCTAAGTACCTCCAGTATTTTATGCTCCGAAAACTCGTAAAGATGTCATTCAGGGACACTTTTAAGGCAGGGGCGTGGTATCCAGGCCCCCCTTTCAAAGCCATAGATGAAAACCATAGATTGATATGACATCATGTCGACGTCATATGACGTCACAGTGACAAATTCGTATTAAGGACCCCCTCCCCCAATGAAAATCCTTGATATACCCATTTTAGGGGAAATAAAAGTGCGAGGACTTCCCATGAATTTCCTTCAATTCCCAACAAAGCATGATGCATCATGCACATTTGCCTATTTTTTTATTATTATTCTGAGATCGTAGAGACGAGAAGTCACGTTCAAATATAGTTACTTGCCTTCCATAAGAACGATTAATGCGTCTTTTAAGATGGTTAATGTGGTAACAAGTACTAGCAATGAAAACAAAAATGTACAAATAGGATCGGCGATCGCCCAGTGAGGCTGAAAAAACATTAAACGAAGTCACTTTATTAAAATCAAGAAAACATAACAACAGTATAACGTGAACAGTGAAGAACAAAACGCGATAGCAGGCATCGCTATTGGAATGGCAGATTTATCGCAATATTCATACAAGATTAATGATACAATTGTTACAAAATTTATACCGAATTTCCGTTACTCCTCTCTCTTGTTTTCTCTAACTATTTTTACGGTCAAGAGACGGTGAAAGTGCATGTTCTTACCTTGAACCATATTATTAAAGCAGCTACAAATACTCCCATACTTTGTAAAAAGTCCCCTAAGACGTGTATAAAGGCAGCTCGTACGTTTACGTTCTCGCCYTCACTTTCAATRACGAAATTTGAMGGTGACTGGCCTGTAGAGTGACTATGATCGTGACCACCTCCACCGAAACCGTGACTATGCCCGTGACCCTTTTGGTACAGAATAAGAGCTAATCTGAAATGTGTAAAGAATCAAAATTTCTCAATGACATCTATTTTAAAATGGCTGGACTGATGACTGTATGAGTGAACAACTAAAAGCCGCAGGGAGCTCTGGGATTGAATGTCGTGGAATAAGATCCTCCGAACGGAGATTTAGAAACCAAGATACGATATTCAATATTAATCCCGAGCTATTAGAGGTGAAATTTTATTGCTGCCATATCCATATCCATCCAGGCACTTGRGTGGACTCTGGTTCTTTTCTAAGATCAATTTTAGCTCCAAGCCTCCGAGTCCCCCGAGGCTGCATCGTGAAAACGATTGTACAATTGTTACAAGACTAAACGACATTCGCTTACAACACGTTAATWAGAAGTCCTCCCGAGGCTGTGATCAACATCACTTCGGCATCGACTTCGTACTCTTTGGTGATTATTCTCTGTATCGCCATGTAAACCAGTACACCAGTAAGCACCCATATTACAAGGACTGATAGTAAAGCACCCATCACCTCTACGACAAATATATCAATAGATAGTAAAGCACCCATCACCTCTACAACAAATATACACCAATAGTACACCAGTAAGCACCCATATTACAAGGACTGATAGTAAAGCACCCATCACCTCTACAACAAATATATCAATAGATAGTAAAGCACCCATCACCTCTACAACAAATATA